ACATGCTGTACCCAAAAGGATGGATATTAGATTTCCTCTGCTGGAAATGAGGAAAAAAATGAAGGTTTATTGACCCATACGTTAAAGTCTTGTGAACTTTGGTTACATTTCTGGAATACTACTTTAATGTGTACAAGTAGATTTGTGGGGGAACCCTTAAATATTTATAGTGATTTATAATTTATAGATATTTATAGATATATACCTAAACTGTGGAATCTATGAGAAATTATGGCTGCACCAGGCACGGGGGATGGACAGAAGAATTAAATTGAGAAATTGGGAAAGTGATATTATTCCAGACATTAAAGAGTATTATTCTAAAAACAGCATTTTTTCTATTAATCCAAGCATTGTGTTTTCTTTAGCATAGATTTTATGATAGCTTATGATGATACAGTGACATGATTAAGTATTTTTATTTTATTATAATTAGCATTATATGGTATCTTTTATAATTCAGTGGCTTCTATCAGCTTAATACACATGTTAAACTTTTAATTTGAACCTCAACCATAATTCTTTACAATTGTAATTTGTTCAATTTGGAGGGGTGGTCTTTAATGTTTGTGAGGGGGGGCGTCTTCTTGATCTTTCCTTTCTTTGGGTTGGTTACTCCAATGTTCTTATTCTTGTGCATTCTGGCACTCGGTTTATATTTTGTAACTTTCTAAAACAGTGTTTCTCAACCTTGACAATTTTAAGGCATGTGGACTTTAACTCCCAGAATTCCACAGCCAGCATTGCTGGCTGTGGAATTCTGGGAGTTGAAGTCCACATGCCTTAAAATTGTCAAGGTTGAGAAACACTGAATCTAAAATGTAGAATAAAGCTTGAAGAAATTAAAGACAGACAAACCCAAAATGGATTGTGAATCTCTGGCATATCTCCCTCCCGTGGAACCAGGAGATGCTGAATGTCTGTTTTAATTTTATTTAATTACATTTCATTATAAGATCAAAGTATAGAAGAAACAAAAGTTAGAAATATAGAAAAAAGAAAAAGTCTAAAGAGAGAGAGAGAAAAGACAATGCCTTTTGACTTTCTCGGGTGGAGTAGATGACAAAAATAATACAACATTAACCTTTCGCTTTGCGTCTCATAATATTCCAAGCCGTTTCTATCGTTACGAAACAGGAGATGCTGAATGTCTGAATGTGGTCATGGTGGGCAGCAGGACACTGGCTGATGCTGGGAAGGAACTTGCTGGGAAGGGAGAAAACAGGACTCCGGGAACTTCTGATTAATCAGAAGTCTGACAGCACCACTTGTGACGGTCCTAAAGCAAATCATGAAACGATCTATCTGTAAGCCCCTTCGTCACATTTTTTGAATGTGCTGATTGCAAACCACAGTGTGGATTTGTCAAGAGCAAGTTTTGCCACACTCATTTTCGCCTTTTACTGTAATTGGTCTACTTCTTTAGTAGAGTGTTGGAAATGCCAAAGATGCGATATATCTTAAGCTACATTGGTTAGTGGAACTCTTACAGTGACAGAGAGTTTAAAAGACCATCATGTCGCAACCGATGGATCTAATACTTGGTTAATCCCAAAAGAAGCTGACTCTGCACCTGTGGAAGGAAGGAAGGAAGGAAGGAAGGAAGGAAGGAAGGAAGGAAGGAAGGAAGGAAGGAAGGAAGGAAGGAGGGAGGGAGGGAGGGAGGGAGGGAGAGGAGGGAGAGGAGGAGGGGATGGATGATTCTGAGCCTTGGTGGCCGAGGTGGGGGGAGGCCTCTGAAGGGCATCTGCAGAGAGACCCATGGGCTGATAGACATGTTGGGCCAGGGGTTCCAACCAGGACACCACAGCTTATGTTCTTATCTTTTTAATTTCTCTCTACATTATAGAGGTGAAGTTGTCATCCGACTACCAATTGCTCAAGTTCCTTCATGAAAGACATGCCTATCCAGCCATAACCCAGAAGCTACCCAGGGTTTTCTCTGTCTCAGCACTTGAATATACCAGTCCAATGGAGAGCCACCGAAGCACCTTCTTCCGTGCCATCATTTTACCTTTTCTGTAATCCCTCTCTTTGAAGCCATGGTTGAAGACATGAATGCTTGACTACAGAAACCAACCAGCTGGGAGATGAGCCTTGTTTGCTGGGAAGGGACAGCACGCCCCCCCCCTCTTGACCAAAAGTGACGGAGGCAGCCTCTAACCAATGCTTGGCTAGAATTCACCAAAATGATGTCTAGGGAGATTCTTAATCATCATTCTCAAGATGAGAAGAATTTTCAAGGAAAAAAACAAGAAAGTCCAGTTGCCTTTTGGGAAAAGCGCCTTTGGGATCACCAAGAAGCCATCTGTGCTCCAGAGAAGACCCCGGGGAGTTTGGTCTGCAGAGCCCGTTCGTCCTTCTCCTCCTGGATTTCAGTCCCTCTTCAGGGGGGGCCCCCGAGGCCGTCCAGACGAGTTTTTATGGATCCTTCCTGGCATTTCAGAGAGCAGCAGAGTTGGAACGAGGGCGGCAGAGAGGGCACAGCTGATGCTTCTGGGTGCCAGGGCTTGGTTGAACGGTTGGCAGGTTGACTGTCAAGTCAACCCGCTCAGAAGCTGGGGTCAGCCATGTGGGGACTTGGGCATCTGTATCTGTGGGGAGCAAATGAGGACCCAAGAACTGTCTGGAAATGTGGGTCTTCCTGCAAGCAAGTGAGGTGGGTGATTCAAGGGAGCAGGGGTGGGGTGGGGGTGGGGAAACCCATAAAATCCCAGTAGAATGGCTGGTTTCCAAATCTGTCTGGGCATAAAGAGGAGCAGGGCAAACAGGCTGGTTGTGGGAGATGAGTTGCAGGTAGGGCACCCTGGACCTCCAGCCTCTGACTTGGGTATGGCAAGGAGACGTTGGTTTGGAGAGGAGACACCCGGCATGGCAAATCTCGGTGTGTTTCTCCACAAATCTCGAGAACCAGCGGCCTAAATTGTATGTCTGTCAAGCTGGAGATTTCTGGGAAAGAAAGAGATTTCCCTGACAGAAGAGGCAACCTGTTGGAAGGACTGAAAGGTGGAGAGGCTGACCACCACCCTCCCTCCCCCCACTCATCAGGCCAATGTCCAGGGCAAGCAAACCCCCTCCAGGGGCTCTCCATATGGAGAAGCCGAGAGAGGCCAATCCCGTCTCCAAGGGGATGGGATGCTGACAATTGCTTGAATAGAAAAATGCAGTGTGCGTCCCGGTCTGTTGCCTGGAAAAGCGTTGGCCCACCAAGTGAGAGTTTTGTGGCTGGGGATGATGAGTGTTTTGGTCCAACCCCTCCGGAGACCCCAAGTCAGAGCATTGCTCCAGCAGGCAATCCTGACCCCCCCCCCCCGGAGAGGTTTTCCTATTGAGGTTAGTTCCGGAGCAGACAGCCTTTGGGGGGGCGGGGGCAAAGGCTGGGCAAAGGAAGGAGGTGCCCTCCTGCTTGGACGGAGGTGAGCATGGTGGTGGGGGGCTTTGGGGGTGCTAAAGGCCCTTCGGAGTCAAGGAATTGGCCTCTGCCAGCAACTGCCAGGAACGGGGCACAGCCTGGGCCAGATTAGCCCAGCTGTGGATTTTGTCATGTGCTTTTCATGCTCTTTTATATCGCTTTGTACACCTTCGTTTTTGCATTGTGATTGCTTCTTAAATCATTTTTAAATTGTCACGAGCCACCCAGGATCTTATATTCGAGATGGACAGCCAGATAAACGGGAATGATAAACAGATACATAAATAAACAAGTCAACTTTCCTGGAGCTGCCTCAGATCCAGCTGTGGGCCCATCTGCCAAGGAGGGGAGGGGGTGGGCTGAAGGCTCTTTTTGTAGGCGGCCGGCCGATCCTTCTCGTTTCCCAGCAGGGCCTCCTTCCCAGCAGGGCCCAAATCAAGAGACTAGGCAGAGGGCAGATCCATTTGGGAGGGGGGGGCAGCCCCCACTCACTTTCTAATTCACTTTCAGTTTTTAAAATTTCACTTTCTTTCTGAACTTTTTTGTTTAGTGTCTAGTGTCTGTGTGTTTTTGCCATGTGGTATGGCTGTAGTAGTATTATTTATCCTTCTTATTTTCTTCTTTACTAACCCCTCTTATTGCTATTATGATTATGATTATCATTATCATTATTCTGTTGCTTTTCACATACACCGAGATTTTCTGCACTGGAGATAAATTCCTTGTGAGTTCAATCACACTTGGCCAATAAAGGATATTCCATTCCATTCCATTCCATTCCATTCTATTCTATTCTATTCTATTCTATTCTATTCTATTCTATCATGTAATTCTATTCTATTCTATTCTATTCTATTCTATTCTTATTCCATTCTGTTCTACTCTACTCTACTCTACTCTACTCTACTCTACTCTACTCTTATTCCATTCTATTCCATTCTATTCCATTCTATTCCATTCCATTCCATTCCATTCTATTCTATTCTATTCTATTCTATTCTATTCTATTCTATTCTATTCTATTCTTATTCCATTCTGTTCTACTCTACTCTACTCTACTCTACTCTACTCTACTCTTATTCCATTCTATTCTATTCCATTCCATTCCATTCCATTCCATTCCATTCCATTCTATTCTATTCTATTCTATTCTATTCTATTCTATTCTTATTCCATTCTGTTCTACTCTACTCTACTCTACTCTACTCTTATTCTATTCTATTCCATTCCATTCCATTCCATTCCATTCCATTCCATTCTATTCTATTCTATTCTATTCTATTCTATTCTATTCTATTCTTATTCCATTCTGTTCTACTCTACTCTACTCTACTCTACTCTATTCCATCCCATCCCATCCCATTCTATTCTTATTCCATTCTGTTCTACTCTACTCTACTCTACTCTACTCTACTCTACTCTACTCTACTCTACTCTACTCTACTCTATCCTACTCTACTCTAATTCTATTCCATTCCATCCCACTCTGTTCCATTCTTTCTCTGCCCCAGGGGTACTTTGGCATCTGCTAGGCATTTCTGTCTCCTGCAGGCAGCATCTTTGTCCATGATGGCAGAAGAGCAGCAGCATCATGTTCCTGCAGAACCTCAGCCACTCCTCCTTCATCCTGCTGGGCGTCCCGGGCCTGGAGGCCGCCCACCCCTGGCTCTCCATCCCCCTCTTCTCCATGTACCTCATCACCCTCCTGGGGAACAGCATCATCTTGCTGGTGATCAAGACAGAGGCCAGTCTCCATAAGCCCATGTACATCTTCCTCTCCATGCTGGCAGCCATCGACCTGGTGGTCTCCTCGGCCACGCTGCCCAAGATGTTGTGTTCCTTTCTCTTCCTTGACAGGGAGATCAGCTTTGCCGGCTGCTTGACCCAGATGTTTTTCATCCACTCATTCTCCGTGATGGAGACGACTGTCCTGGTTGCCATGGCGTTTGACCGCTATGTGGCCATATGCTCCCCACTGCGCTACGAAGCCATCTTGACCAATCAGCGGCTTTTCAAGATTGGCGTGGTGGTGGTGGCCCGGGCTGTGGCTCTCATAGTGCCACTCCCAATTCTGGCCACGAGGCTGCCCTTCTGCGCAAGCAACGTGGTGCCCCACACGTACTGCCAACATATGGCCGTGGTGAAGCTGGCCTGCACAGATGTCACCGTCAACAGCCTGTATGGACTGAGTGTGGCCCTCTACGTGGGCCTTTCCGATGTTCTGCTCATCGGCCTGTCCTACGCCATGATACTACGGACGGTCCTCCAGCTGCCCAGAGAGGCTCAACTCAAGGCCTTCAACACCTGTGGCTCTCATATCTGCGTCATCCTCATCACTTTTGTGCCAGGCCTCTTCTCCATTCTGACCCACCGCTTCGGACACAAGGTGGCCCCCCCTGTGCGCGTCCTCCTGGCTAACCTCTACCTGCTGCTCCCTCCCACTCTGAACCCCATCATTTACGGCATCAAGACCAGGGAGATCCGCCAGAGGGTGCTCCGCCAGGTGTGGAGGAGGAAGAATTTATTCTGAACATCCCAACAGTAATGAGGTGCATGCCCCTCCCCCAAAGCACCAAGGACTCACATCTGGCAGCAGACAGGGAACATCTGACGCTAATTTCGATTATACGACAGCTAGAAATTGCAGGCTGCCCTCCTTAGAACAAAAAATTAAGATAGGATCTAATTAGAATAGAACTGGAAGGGACATTGGAGGTCTTCTAGTCCAGCCCCCTGCTCAAGCAGGAGAACCTATACCATCTCAGACAAGTGACTGTCCAGCCTCTTCTTAAAAACTTCCAGTGATGGAGTGCCCACGATTTCTGGAGTCAAGCTGTTCCACTGGTTGATTGTTCTCACTGTCAGGAAGTTTCTCCTTAATTCCAGGTTGCTTCTCTCTTTGGTCAGTTTCCAACCCTTGTTTCTCGTCCTTCCTTCTGGCTTTGGAGAATAACATGACCCCCTCTTCTTTGTGACAGCCCCTCAAATACTGGAATACTGCTATCATGTCACCCCTGTTTCTTCTTTTCTTTAGACTAGCCAAACCCAAGTCCTGCAGCCATTCTTAATATGTTTTAGTCTCCAGGCCTTGGATCATCTTAATTGCTCTTCTCTGAACTTTTTCCAAGGTCTCAACATCTTTTTTGTAATATGGTGATCAAAATTGGTCACTAGGGTTTTATAAAGCGGTACTAATACTTCACGCGATCTTAATTCTATGCCTCTGTTTATACAACACAGGATTGTATTAGCTTTTGCTGCTGCACACGGCTGGCTCATAGTCAAGTGATCATCCACTAGGACTCCAAGGTCCCTCTCCCAGTTGCTGCTTTTGAGCCAGATCTCACCTAATCTGTACTTTATTTTTGATTTTTCCTGCCTAAATGTAAAACTTTGCTTTTAAAGCTCATTCTTCAAGTTTGTCAAGATATTTTTGAACCTGAGCTTGTCTTCTGGGATGTTGGCTATTCCTGCCAGCTTAGTGTCATCTGCAGATTTGATGAGTTCCCCTTCAATTTCCTCATCTAAGTCATTGATGAAGATATTGAAGAGTTTACTGGGCCTAAGACGGAGCCTTGTGGTACCCCACTGCTTACTTCTCTCCATGTGGATGTGGTGCCATTGAGGACTACTCATTGAGTATGGTTTGCCAGCCAGCTACAAATCCATCTGATGGTGATGTTGTCTATTCCATCTCAGTTACTGGACAGCACTTTTAAAGTGACTTTAAGGCTTCCATCCTCAGAAAAGATTCATTCTTTAGTTCAGAGCTCCTGGGATGATAATCAGACATTTGGGGAGAACTTGCACTTTGATTTATTACAATTTATAACTCTTCAGGTATGAAGGAATTGCTGCACCAAAATAAAAGCGGTTTGGTCTGTCTGTATAAAACAGACGAAAGTTCAATTGTGTGTTATTTTCTGAGAGATTATTGGGGGAGGGAGTGAGCCCCAAGAACAGACTCTGGTGCCCTGCAAGTTGCCAGCAGAAGAAGCCCCTTATCAAGAGTCTCACGGTTTTATTACTTCTGGAGTACGTTTAATAAATGCATTCCGCTCTTTACCTTTCATTGTTTTCTCACTTTGTAATGGCTGAAGGTGGGCACAAACATTTTGTAAATAGATCCGTTTACTTGAAGACAGGCCGGCACAACCCATAAAAAAGAAAGGCTGCACTGACACATTAAAAATAATTGTGGGTCCCAAAGAAACAACAACGTACCAATCAGTTGTTGGACAGCACCAGTGGAGACAATCGTATGGGGGAGGCCTGGGGGCCTTTGGCAGAGGGTCTTTCTGGGCGGAGGTGGCTTTGAAAACCTCCGTAGCAGTGGGAGATCCTTCCTGGGGACAGCAACATTTGCCAGCTGTGGGTTTCTGGGTTTTCAGAAATTGCCACAAGCCACACCAAGCTGCTTGTGGACTTGCGACCACAACCAAACCGTGTCCAAGATTTAAAGCTTTATTTCTGGTTTTTTTTTCACTGTAAAAATTCTGATCTCTCTAAAGTTATCAAGTTCATATTCAACAAGCAAAGCAATTAGGTTAACAGAATAACAGAGTTGGAAGGGACCTTGGAGGTCTTCTAGTCCAACCCCTTATTCAAGCAGGAGATCTTATGCCATTCTGGACAAATGGCTATTCAGTCTCTTCTTTACAAATTCAGTCCAGTTTGTGTCCCAATATTTGGCAGTAGGCAAAAAATAAATCCAGCCACTATTTGAATCCACTGCAAATTGTATCACTCTAAAGTGTGTTAAAGAAGACACAGAAACTATCCATCTGAGGTCATCAATACCTTCCTCAAGTCAGGAATCCAATTTAAGGCACAGTGTCATGGTTCCGACAGATGAAACTCTTCGAAAGAACTTCGAGGCATTGTTTACCTTAAAGAATTTTTTATTCGAGAAACAAAGTATTGGCACTACATAGTTGAAGCCAAAAACTGAATTCCCCTCCCCTGGGCACAAAGTAGCAAAGCACAGTTCCCTCCTCCAATAAAGAGTCATAAATCACATTCCCCAATTAACTTGAAGCACAGGCTTTCTCCCCGCTCTCCAGCCTACCAAATCTCTATCAACTCTGGGCCCAATGACCTTGGGTTCCCACGGCTGAGTTATTATTGTTATGACTAGCTGGACTCTCATCCACATTCCCCCTCCCAGCATCAACGAACTCTAAAAGCGAAAGAGAAAAATGAATGCATTTCCATCTGTTGTCAAAGCAAGAACACCCGATGTTAGCAGCATTGACATCCAGCAGAGAAACGCCCATCCACCTTACAACTGAATTTTAAATATTAAAATTGCAAGCATGCAAAACTGCAGGAGATGCCAATCTATATAACACCTAGCAATATGGCTTTATTTATTTAAACAATTCACATGGCCAGTCAACTCACACATGGCAACTCCGGATTGCAAGCATGGGAATAAAATCTTACAAAATAGAACCTCAGAAAATAAAAAGGCAGGAGGAGACGCAGTGCTCAGAAGGCAGCATTGCAGGCTAACTCTGCCCACAGTCAGGAGTTCAATCCATGGGGGCTCAAGGTTGACTCAACTCTTTTGTCCTTCCCAGGTGGGTAAAATGGGGGCCCAGATTGTTGGGGTCAACAGGCTGACATTTGTAAACCGCTCAGAGCGCACCATGGAGCAGTGTATAAGTGCTACTGCTATATGGCATAAATAAGGCCATCCCACCCAAGTGTTTATCCAGGCAACCTTTCCAGATGTGTTCCTCTCTCACCCTTGTCCAACGCCCAGAGGGGAACACTCAGTCTTCAAAGTCATGCAGAAGCTCAGTAGGCTCATGGCCATCTAAATGCTGGGAGACGAGGTCTTCCCGAAGGCAGATGCCGTGTCAGGAAAGGCTTGTCTCCCGGGTGGGACCCCTCCACCCACAGCCCCCTGAATCAGTTTCAGCTTCCAGGGAGTCTCCAACCGCAGCCCCAAGTAGAGTGTATTGCAGTAATCTAACCAAGAGGTGACTAAGCATGAGTAGACGTCCCAAAACCAAGAATGGGCAACACAGGCACACAAGATGGACTTGCATAAGGGTCTCCTAGTCACGCCCTCTTCAGACACAAGATGGGATCCCAGAATTGCACACCATCCCGAATGGAAAGAGGGAAGCTCCCACGCTTCATTATTTAGTATCCTATGAAGATCACTGAGTGCTGTATCTTATGGTTTACGATGATTGTATTTTATGATGATTATGATCATGATTTATCACTTGCTGTTTATATGTACACTGAGAGCTTCTGCAACGGAGGCAAATTCCTTGTGTGTCTGATCTTACTTGGCCAACAAAGAATTCTATTCTATTCTATTCTATTCTATTCTATTCTATTCTATTCTATTCTATTCTATTCTATTCTATTCTTGTTCCTGTTCCTGTTCCTGTTCCTGTTCCTGTTCCTATTCTATTCTATTCTATTCTATTCTAGTCTAGTCTAGTCTAGTCTAGTCTAGTCTATTTCCCATATTTTCTATTCTATTCTATTCTATTCTATTTTAGTCTAGTCTAGTCTAGTTTAGTCTAGTTTAGTCCAGTCCAGTCCAGTCCAGTCCAGTCCAGTCCATTCTATTTCCTATTCCCTTCTATTCTATTATTCCCTATTCCATTCTGTTGGGTTTCCAAAACCTGAGAAAGTAACACAGAGAAGGGGATGGTTTGCTTGTCCCAACCAAGATCATATTTCCTCTTCCACTATTTCCTTTCCTTTAAAATTCCATGGAGCCAAAGAAGGAACCCTTGTTTGCCAATGTTTTGCAGCAACACTTCCAGGGACTAACAGAAAAAGCTGGATCCACATGGCGCCTGATGAGATGGCTTCCAGTCCATCCTGCTAATGGGCCGGGCCAGTCTGCGGAGGCTCCTTCCCTCCCCAGGCCCTCTCCAGGGCCAGCAACACTGCAGGGAGAGCTCTTCCATCCCTCCCAGAGGGGAAGGCATAAAAAAGCAACAAGGAGGCAGAGAAGGGCTGAGCTTGAATTCCAGGCAAGGATTTCACTTGGTCTGTTCAAGACTATAAAGATTCCTTTCTCGTGGAAGGTGCAACACTTGTGCTACACAAGAGGGGCCCCGGAGGATGCACAACACCACACTCTAAAGGACCCTCCAAAGCTGCCTCTGCCTGGTGAGTGTTCAAGCCCAAGAGATGCATCCTGTTTGCTAGCATAGATGGCTTCCTAGTTCAGTTCCTAAATTGGTAGCCAACATTTCTCTGCTTTTTCAGGGGAGTGAAGGCAAAAACATAAGAGAACGGTTGCAGGAATTGGTTATGTCTGGTTTTATAAAAAGAAGGATTACGGGAGACATGATAGCACTGTTCCAATATTTGAGGGGCTGCTGCAAAGAAGAGGGGGTCCACCTATTATCCAAAACACCTGAAGGCAGGACAAGAAGCAACAGGTGGAAATTCATCAAGGAGAGAAGCAACCTGGAACTAAGGAGGAATTTCCTGACAGTGAGAGCAAGCAAATAGTGGAATGGTTTCCCTCCAGACGTTGTGGGTGCTCCA